TTTACTACAACAAGGATAATGTGAGTAGGGAATAACTAATTTACTAAAATTAGCAGTAAATCTAACATCTTGGCAGAAAAGATGTGTTCTTGGAATGAAACCTGCAACATCTTGTTTCAAGGCTTCTTTCTAACACAAGATTATTTAGGGAACTCACATTTCATACTTAAAATGATCAAGTTCACCTTCACTTTGTCACTGCCATTAAGGAAGTATAAATTGATGACAACCAGTGCAAATGTGTTGATTGATTAGCTGCCATTAATTAGCTGTTGACTCTTAGGGACCACATAGATAGATTTTTTCCATGAACAAACATGTTAGTGTTTTTCAAAATCATGCTTTTAACTACAACTGTACATTCTAATTTTTTTTTACCATTTTAACTTCCCTTAATTTTCTAAATAGAACAATCAGTATTTTAAATGAAAGATGAACAAACTGCCGATTTTGGCTAAATATTTTAATAGCATTAATAAAAGTTGAAACTTTATGGCAACCTACTTGAATATAAACATTTCTCAGTATTGGCATCTATATGAATGTCTTTACCAAGTCAATCAAACATCTCATCTAACTAAAAGTACTGCTTCTCTTGCATCAAGAGACACAAAGAAACAAAAACTCTGTGTTCATTATCTTATTGTTTACAAGCCATTCATATATAGTTCCTGGGAAAATCAAAAGAAGTATGAAAGACCATTTGAATCAAAAGTAAGACGTATATGGCTGTATTCCAGAAAGCAAGAATGGGTTGAGTCAGAAAGCAATTTGTGACAATAGCAGCCTAGTCAGGTCTGGAAATATTCCTCAGATACTGAGACAATGACAGGAGTTTAACCATAAAAAAGAAAAAGAAAAAGAAAAAGAAAAAGAAAAAGAAAAAGAAAAAGAAAAAGAAAAAGGAAAAGGAAAGCACTCCAATTTTAATAAACAAAATTATGTTCTTAGACACTGTGATAATGATGTTCATGAACATTTGCCAGTAAGATTGGTCAGAACTTATTATCTTACTGTATAATATAAAAATTGGAAAAAAGAAACATCTGGAAATATTTACAGCATGAAATTTGAAAGATCTGATAAAAAAAGAAGCAATACTTGAAACTATGTAAGTGGATAAACAATCCATTCAGGGAAAAGGAATACTCAGTCATTAATATACCAATAAACAAAAGCAAGATTCTTAACAAAATTACAATATGCCTTATGACCAATTTAACAAACAAAAGCAAATTCCTTGATGTCAACTTTATATAGATTCTTGATTTTTAAAATTCCAGTTTCTATTCAATGGTAAATACATTTAATAAGGAATGATCCATTAAGAATATATCCTCCATGACAACTGTAAACAATCATCCATCCAGAGCTGCTAATTTACAGAGAAATATTTAGTACAGGAGCCATTCACTGCACTCCAGTTCATTTCAGTATCAAAGCAGAAGCCCACATTAACAGAATGTTGGAATGTAAAATGAAGGATTACCATAGCTTATTGTTTTATTTGCATGAAGGAACTACTGGCCAGAATGAAGCAATTATTTCAACCTTCAGTAATTAAAACAACTGTTCCATTCATAGCTGTACCTTGTTAACAGATCAAAAATCTAGAGCACAGAAAATTTGCTTTAATGCTGCTGATTCCACCACTTCTTGCATGTACTGTTTTGGCAACAAAATGGAAATAGTTTGCTATTATCTTCTCCAAGGATTTTTTTTTTTTTAAACTTCCGGGTATATCTACACTCCTGAGATTTTCTGCTAATCTCCAATCCAAGTATTAATCAAGACTATCTATGCTTGGCTTTTTCAAGATCACAGCTAGCTGCTTACTAGATAGTATATCCTACTCAATTTAGTTTGAGTTCAGGCATTACACCTAAGCTGGGTTCATACATGAAACAATAATGTGATTTAGGCTCACAATATTGTATGAACATGGCCAACATGAATTATGCTGTTTATATAATACAGTGGGGCAAAAAAGTATTTAGTCAGCCACCAATTGTGCAAGTTCTCCCACT